CGCCCGGGACGCCTGGCTTCGGACCCCGCTGGCCCCCAGCGAGATGATCACCGCGCAGAGCGCGCTGCTGGAGAGGGAAGCTCAGGAGTCCAGCACCACCGACGAGGAGCTCGCAGGCCGGAGAGCGGCCAACGCGAGCAGCGAGAGGGGCGGCGTTGTCAGCACCCCGGACTATGGGGAGAAGAAGCTGCCACAGGCGCTTATCATCGGGGTCAAGAAAGGAGGGACCCGCGCGCTGCTGGAGGCGATCCGCGTACACCCGGACGTGCGGGCGGTGGGCGTAGAGCCGCACTTCTTTGACAGGAACTACGAGAAAGGGCTGGAGTGGTACAGGTAGGACCCTGGGCTCGGCAGGGTGGGGTACACGCACCGGGGAGACCCGGAGGAGAGGCCACGCTCTCCGTGCCCTTCGAAATCGAGGCACTGTCCCGAAACCCCTAGCCCCTGCGAGGGCTCTGGGAACCTAGCGGGGTTGCTTCTGGGACCGTCTGAGAGCACTGGACTCCAGCTAAATTTCACTTTACTTCACGGAGAGGGGAGAAGGTGTCACTCCTCTCTGCCTCCGACACCGCATCCAAGGAGGTGCCTTCTGAACCCGCCCAGCTGTCAGCCTGGGAATCCCCAGTCTCTGCGACTGTGGGGTGTTTCCTAACTCACGCTGTGGCAGGGCACTGGGGCTCTAAGACATGAGACAAGATAGCTCAATGGACAAGAGACTTTGCGATCCCCTGAAATCTATCAAAATCGTCTAAAACGCGGCAGGAATCCAACTTTAGTGTTTTAAGGTCAGAAAGACATGAATATGGAATAGTTAAAAAAGAAAAAAAAGGTAGAGGCACTTGGGCTTTCTAGTAAAGACAGGATGTCTCCTACCTCCATAACTTTCCCTCCGCCTTGTTGAATAGCACTGGGTTGATTTCGCACCGGAGCTTCCATGTCTACATGACAGTGGATGCCTTAAGAGTTTTATGCCCTGCACCTGTGCCCCAGCTAATCTGCGGCTTCTTCGCAACAGATTGCAGTTTATGTCTTGTGAGATGCTCATCTCCCTCCTTTCCCACCGTCTGTCGTTGGTGAGAAAAACGGAGAAGAGAGGACTAGAAAGTTAAGTGCAGGAAAAATAAATGAATAATAAAGCTTTCTTGCCAACCATAACGTTTAAAGCAAACACCAGCTCCACTGCCTAATATTCAAACCTCTTTGATTTTTTTCTCCCTCTTTCCTCCTGTTTTATATCTTTCCGGAAAACAGATCTGGATGGCTGGCTCCATCTCGATTGCATTTCAGTAATTAATTGCAATTGTCAAACAGTAACACAGCCTCTGTCAACTAAAGTGATGTTATCATCTTAGCAGAGCCAATGGGTAAAATAAGGATCGTTTCCTGACAGGTCACCTTTCCATAGGAGAAATGTGCTTTCTCCGTTTAAATTACAGCCTAGGAAAGTTTTAGAAATAATTTCAGAAATATGTAAGAAATGTGTGTATTGTGATTGATTTCTTCCACTTTTAAAAATATGCCTTGTGCTGTAAAAGCTTGAGAAAAGTACACTTAGGCATAAACATTACAGCACATTACACTGAAACAGCAAATGTGTCTGTTAATGTCTTGTCTGTTTCAACAGAGAGAACTAATTGCAGTATTTTAGGAGGCTTCAAACAGCCCCTTCCTATCAAAACATAAAACAGCAAATGCCTAATTTAACTGGAAAATCAGTATTTATAGCATCACAAGCCATGGCTTCCAGTTTGTGATTATAATTAAAAAGGTGTTAGGATGATTAATGCAACAACAGCAAAATACAGAAAGGGTATGATGTCTGGGAGGGTTTTAGTTGTTGAATTGTTGGCCATAGGAATGTTCTGGTTTCTTCTATGAGGTAGCACTGACAGTTTGAGGCTGTGTGTGTGTTTGCATGTGTGTGTGTTCTTTCCTTTTCTAATTTTACAGCTGTGTATCTTGTGATAATTGTCAAAATGCCCTTTGAGGGAAGCATAAACACATGATCTTTCAACCTGTGTTGGGGTTGCTTTATGGCTGCTGGAAATGGGGAAGGGGGTGTTTTACTTGATGACCTAAAGTTTATGGAGGGTGTGTGGTGGAATGCATGTTAGAAAGTCCCATCTTTAGGTCTAAACAATTTTCTGAATGGAAGGATAGAAGATGCCAGATTTCCTGTTTTTTAATATTGAGAGTGGGCAGAGAAGGTATGCCTCTCAGTCATGGCTACTGAAGATAATATCTAGGGCTGTGGTGTTCTGAGTCAAGGCTTGTATTTGGGGCTCAGTGTCAATATTTGGTACCCACCATAGAATTGCTAAGCTGAAGGGGTGTGGGTAGACCAAGATTCTCTTGTTTCTCATTTAAGAGGAGACCATATAATATTGGGTCCTCCAATTCCCCCCGGACCCACGACGTCTTGTCCCAGGGTAGACCAGTTTAATAGTGGTGGAGAAAAATATCTTTAAAGAACAAGCTTTCTGGCAACACATGTCTATCTAACATTCAGGGAACCATTAGCACCCAAACTTGGCTGTTGAGAAGACTGGTAGAAACCCCTTGGCCTCATGGGAGCCGAGTGTGCTAGGACCAGTCTTGGACAGCTCTTCAGCCCTATCATAGACAGCAGTGCTTTGAGGGCATTTGTGAGATTTTCATTAGTTCCATCTGGCCTCTCCTTGTCTCTCTCTCTCCTGCTGTCTCTCTCCCTTCCCCGCCCCTCCCTCCATACAGAAAGCGGTGACGACATCCTCACTATGTTGTAGGAAAGGAAACAGTGGTATTGACTCAAACTAATAACAGAAACCTTTCCTCTTTCCTCCCTGGCCCAACGGAATCTTGTCAATGGTGGCATCTGCCCTTAGATGACATCCTTCTGTCCCCTCTGGCTATACTATTTGGGGTCTTTTTGCCCGATTAGAGATCCACAGGTTAATGAAAGATTTCGACTTTTCCTCTATTTATTTATGATCTTTACTTAAACTGTGCTTTCAATAGCCTATTCATCCTGCAAATGTTTCTCTTTTGTTTTGTTTTGTTTTCAGAGAGGGAGAGTCAGGAGGAAATTGGGGCTGCCCTCAACATGGCTGCCATGGGCTTTCCTCATATGCACCTACGCAGCCCCGGCAGTTTTATTTCCTCAGTGTCACTCTAGTTATCTGTACATCTGGGTTTTGGCTTGCTCCTATGTTGTTGATCTAATGTGATATAAAACACATTTGAGATTAGAACACATACATCAGATTATCAGGGTAAGATGGACTAATGGATTAGGATGTGTGTGTTAAAGCTACAGAGAAGCCAGCTTCACTTGGTGGTTTGACACAGGCCAGTGATTTATAAATCCAGACAGATTAATCCTTCCACCCCTTCCTCCACGTCGCTCCCCAAGAAAGGGCAAAAGCACAATGCACCTTTCAGTACAAGCTGATACAAGCTGTCTGGGCAGAGACCTTAAACTCATCTAAAGGATGGGACCTCGGGGCAGGCTAACCTGCTGCCACTGCAGAACTCATCAAAGTGACAGAGAAGACTTGAGCTGTTTCCTCCCTCGTGGTTTATAGACTGTACTGTAACTATAACCCATTTTTTTCTGGAAACCACTCAGCCACAGAGCAATGGGACATGATCCTCCATGGTTTTAAGTTGTCCTCACTGTCAACACTTTATGTATACGTCCCATTAGCTAGGGGAAAGTAACTAAGTAAAATGCTTTCCAAAGTCATGCTCATGTTACCTAGAGGAAAGTGGCCTGTGGTCAGAATCTAGCTGCATGTGACATCTGGAGACAGAATGAAGGGGGAGAGAAAGGCACTGTAATGCCTGCTGTTGCTGTTGTGGTTGGCACTTTATAGATGTGTTATCACTTTTTTCTTTTTGCTATCGGGTATATGCACTCACTGGAGAGAAAGAGAGAGAGAGAGAAATCACCCCTCAGGGGGATGGCCACAGAGCAATCCCTTCTTTGTTCTCCTCTTGGGATTTTAGGCACACATGTACGTGTACACGACATGTTTTCCAAGCCATCACTCAGACTTGAATGGGATCCAGTGCCTTAGCCACCACGCCACCTGCTGGTCTCGCATTATCATATGTAAGTGCCATCATGATGCCATGAGCTGAACACAGTGTTCTCATTTTTCAGGTCACACCCAGGAGGTAAACGACTGGTTCAAAGTCATTTGGGTAGTTAATGCTTGAACTGAGATTTGAACCCACATCTGTCTCATTTCAAAGTGTCGGTTTCTTCTCCTGAACTACATCCCACACATAAAGTACTAGAAGCTCATATTTTTGTTAATTATTTTAATTAACAACTATTTAATAAATCAAGCTGTAATACTGGGGATAAAGTGGTCAGACAAATAAAATACTATTTTCTTGCAACTGACATTTTAGTAGGAGCATAGAAGAGACAGCAAGCAAACGAACTGAATAATATGTAGTAAAAATTCTGGCTGAGATAAAGAACCTAAGGAAAAATAAAATAAGTGATGGCTTAAAGCTCCTTTCTTAGCATGGTAGCTACTATCTGCATGTGACTTTCAAATATGTAAGATGTTCAAACTGAAATATGCTATAAGAAAATTTACAGAATGCTAAATTGCTCATTAATTTATGTTGACATGCTGACATGATAATACTCATATTAAGTTAAATAAAATATATGTTAAATTAATTTCAGCCTCTTTTTATTTTTTAGGAGTGGCCACTAGAAAGTTTAAAATTACACTTGTTATTTGCATTGTTATTCCCTTTGGGCAGTACTTGTGTAGTAATTTTTAAATTTTAAGGGTGCATGAATCACCTGTTTTTTTCAAATAATTATTTTATTTAACTTTATTTATTTATTTATTTGAATTTGATCAGAGAGGGACAGAGTGAGAGAGAGAGAGAGAGAGAGAGGGAAAGTGAGAAAGCAAGCTGCCAGGTCTGGGACTTAAACCATGTCAGCCCTGTGGGAGTCCAGCACCCTTAACCACCATGCCACCTGCCGTCCCCCACTTGAGATCTTGTTAATATGTGGGTTTTGATTCAGTATGAGGATATGTGTGAGATTACACATTCCTAAAAAGCTCTCAAGTACTACTGCTGCTGTTGATCCCTGAACCTCCCTTTGAGTAGCAGGGGGCCTAGAAAGTAATTTCTGTGTGTGTGTGTGTGTGTGTGCGTGTGCGCGCGTGTGCGCGCACATGTGCACATACCTGTGTTGGTTTTAAATACTTTCTGGGGCCAGCAGGTTGTGTAGTGGTTAAGGTGCTGGACTCTCACGTGGCCAACTGCAATTTGAGTCCTATACCCTGTGGTTTAAAACTCATGCTGGAATGTGTGCA